CGAGAAGTCAGTTCACACCTGCTGGCACATGAATTCACACTACGTGGACAAATAGAAATGCAGGAACAAAGAAATTTGAGTCGGCGTGGGTTCCCGCGCCTGCTTCCGTTTTCGCAGTGTGGTGTTAAAATGCCAGCATGATGCAAACATGACACCCGTGTTTTATTTTAAAATGCGCCCTATTTGCCAATTCGGTATTTTATCATTCGGGTAACTTCATACCAAAACCACTTCGAGATCATTTAACATTGTACCACAGACACACTTCACCCCACATGTGCACTATAGTTAATATTAAGTGAGGAGGGTCTTTCTTACTAAGAATAATATCATTCGATATTTTGCATGGACTATACACGGTGTATCCCCTTTAAAAAAAAAAAGGCAGTATTACGTCACCCAACAATCATTACGTAATCAATCAACACTTGAAATCAACCCAGGTCCCCGTCGGACGGACGCAGTGACCGTAAGGTGATAATAGACGTTTTGCCAGGAAGTGACACCAACTCTGTTTTTCATCAGTTTCGGTATTAAAGGGCGGTGGTCGTCGCGCCACGCATGCGCGTCAGTCAGACCAGGGGGGTATAAACCTCTGTTTATACCTACATGGTTAGACCTATACGTCACAAGGCATTATATATATATTTATATAGACTCGCACTCACTATATTCTAATATCTTCAGCAAACCTACATCTTCTGACGTCATGGGTGACGCAGTACACTTTACCAAGAACAAATCATTGATTATAAAGGCTGTAGATAGATACAAGGAGCTCAGTAAATCGGACGCGTATCAACAGATGTTCCATGAGAAAGCTGACCCTACCAAACCGGATGTCGTCAAGGCAATGGCGGATATTCATATTCATTTCACTAAGAAGGCACTAGAGGATGTTGGGGTGGAGTTGAGTCAAATTCCCGATGATGCGATGGTAGATCATATTGCAGTCATGAATTTCGCAAATGACCCAGAGGTACGTAATAATATCAGCGCGATGGATCGTATTGTGATAAAAATTATACAATTAGTATGCAAATTCACTGGTTCCGAGCGTCCATTGCCAACAATAAGTAGTGCGCCATGACATCTGAGGCGGGAACCAACCGATGACATCAACACCACACAATCGTCTAATCTCTGTTGAATTTATTTGTAGGTTATTGGCAAGCTTAATGGTATGATCGAAGCCCCTGAAAGATTGATGCCACATCTCAAACCCAGAGTCGCACTCGGGGATAAAGTACCCGAAGATGTGGAGGTAGTTTCCATAGAAACAGGCAAACGTATCCCGCTACTTGAACTACGTATTAACAAAGAGCGACCACTTTTAATTATTGCGTCATCACTGAGCTGACCCCCCTTATCGGTAAAATATTTTTTTGTTTAAAAAAAAAATTAAACTCGCTCGACCCAGGTATACAAAGGGATTGCAAAATCTCCGGTGTGACATTTGACCAAATGATGATTTATTGCTAGAGATTATTCGCGCTTAATGCCAGAGATCACTTGAGGTATTGCCTTTAAGGTATAGATGCATGTTCGTGGGCACTAGGAGTGAATTTTTTTTTTTGCTTTTGTTACCCAGACAGTCTTGGCTAGATAGTGTTGAAATTTCGGAGCATTGTCAATGCTGGAACATGCCCAAAAATGGATTTTAAAATATAGGGAATCGAGGCACGCGTATGTGATTAAAAGTCCCGAAAGTTTGTTTACGTTGCTCTTTGATTGACAAGTCACTTTTGATGTTATATGCAAATGAGTTGCTGGCCTCAGTTATGGTGCGGCGATGTGTAACTTCCTGTCCGCGACCCTGTTTAACTTAACTCAAGCGCTACCAACTAGTCTTGCAAACTACAAAAAAAAGACAATACGTAGACGCTTCCAGCATGCAAGCGGAATACAAAAAACATACAGTTGTAAATGATAAGTAAGCTTTTTCACCCTTATCTCGCAACATGTCGACAACTTCTAGCCTGGCAGCTTCCAGTGGAGTACTGTTAAATATTTTTTTTCACGCATTTTTTTCTCCGAAGGCATTATAAAACTGACTAATTTTACATTTGTCGTTTCGCTGTAACGATCACCGATCACCGTGCTGATAGCATTGCGATGT